AAGACAAGGTTTTACATTAGTAAGAAATGTAGCAGGTTTGACAGATTCATGCTTGTCTTTTATGAAGTTCTTCATGGTAATTCCAGATCAGCCTTGCCTTCTCTAGGGGTGCTGCCACCACAGTGTATTGAGGTTGGGATGCTTTATGAGGCTTAAAGAGATACTTATATCAATGGCTCAATCAAATTCCGCTAGATGCAACATGTAGGTAAGTAGTAGGAAAGCATATTGCAAGGTTCATATTTCTTGAACCAGGTTAGGTCCTGACTTCCTATAATATCATCTTTTTTTTTCTTTTTTTTTTTTGTGAGAACTTCACCTGTCTACTGTATTTTTCTCTGGGAAAAAGGAGCACAAGAACTTCCTACGGGAGAGTACAGTACTCTTGTATGGTTAAATTTGTTGGGATCAAATTGTTGTTAGTTTTAGTTGTGTACTGGAGCCTATATTTGCTAGCTAGGATGTGATGTAAGATAGGACTATCATTTTATGTTCACAGATATTAGTTGTTCTTTATACATAGGTTAAATGCTAAATTTGGTCCTTCAACTTTAGTGAGTTACATATTTTTGGTCCTTCAACAATTTTTTGTACTTTTTTGATCCCTTAACTATACAAAATGCACTCCGTTAGTCCTTTTGTCAATTTTCGCCGTTAACTTGGCCACACGGTATTTTTTATATTTTTTGTTGATGACATGGCAAAAATAACTTAAAAAGACACTAATTTGGACTTTTTTTGCGACATGTCATCTTTCTTTCTCATCTTCACTCTCTGCAGAATCAATCTCCACTCCATCTGCAGAGTCAATTTTAACCCATTTCTTCTTCTTCTCTAAATGCTCTCTCATCTCCACTCCTTTACAAAACCGATCTTAACCCATTTCTTTTTCTTCTCTTTTCTCAAGAGAACTTGAGAAATTGAACCTAGCTACTGGGTTTCTCCACTCCATCTGCAAAATCAATCTTAACCGATTTCTTCTTCTTCTCTAAATGCTCTAATCAATCAAACTCTCAAATTTATTAATCAAACAATATCAATCAAATTCTAATAAAATTCCAAAAATACAATCAAATTGTAAATCAACTCTCAAATTTATTAACAACTAGAAATGAAAATCGAAAGAAGAATGAAAAAACATGAATCCATCATCAAAATAGCAAAACTGGCTTCATTGGAACCCAGTTGGGTCTCGTCGAACCCAGCAGCTAGGTTCGGGGAAACCCAGCAAGGCTGGGTTCAACGAGACCCAGCAAGGTTCGTCAGAACCCAACCTTGCTGGGTTCGGGGAAACCTAGCTAGACGAACCCAACCTGCTGGGTTCCGACGAGACCTAGCAGGTTGGGTTCCGACGAGACCCAGCAGGCTGGGTTCGACGAGATCTAGCAGGCTGGGTTTGACGAGATCTAGCAGGCTGGGTTCATCGCAGCCATCGAAAGTGGAGACCCAAGGTAGGAAAGAAAGAAAGAGAAAGAAAGAAGGGGAAGAAGAGGGGATTGGGTGGGTGAGGGTAGTTAGGTAATTTTATTTGTTTTTATTTAAACTATAAATATTAATCTACATGTTATTTTTTTTATTTATATAACATAATTAAAATATATATTATTGCCACATCATCAAAAAAATTAAAAAATAATGCCACATGAAATTATTTAACTGCCACATCATACTTAATTGACGAAGGGACCAAAACTGTGCGATTTTTAGAGTCGAGGGATAAAAAAAATGCAAAAAATTGTTGAGGGATAAAAAATGTATATTTCTTAAAGTTGAGGGACTAAATTTAGTATTTAACCTTATACATAAGAGCATTGAGCTAAATTGAAAAGTTCAGGGGTTTTATTTGTTAAAATCAATTTGAGGGCTTCATTGATTGATCAAACATAAAAGTTAAAGTTCTTGTAAAATAAGTGATCATTGAGTTGGAAGAAAATAACTATATAAAAAGGATAAAATAAGACTATAAAGAGAGAATAGATGAAAAGTATGCTTTTTATTTTTTAATTTTCTTTCATTTTTTAATTTTTAATTTTCAATTCAAGTTTTATATAATGTCAACCTATATATTGAATAAGAGACAATGATTATTATAAATTTAATGTATAAACTTGATTAGATTCATAAATAGAATTTAATTAGAACACTAAATAATCTTTGTCAGTTCCATAATGTAATTATATAAAGAAGATAAAGTAAGATTATAAAAAGAGAATAGATGAAAAGTATGCTTTTTATTTTTCATTTCTTTTCATTCTACAATTTCAAATTTTCAATTTTAATTCCATATAATGCCAATCTATATATAGGTTAAGAGATAATGTTTATTAAATAAATTTAATGGATAAACTTGACTAGATTTATAAATAGAACTTAATTAAAATATTAAATCTTTATTAGTTCAAATTTTGGTTAAATCTTTAATTTGATTTCTCAATTATTGTACAGATTTTCAATTTAGTCTCTAAATTAAAAAAATCTTTGATTTGATTCTTATTATTTATCAATTTAACTCTAAATGAATCATTTCGTATAAAAATAAATGACGTGTCTTATTATTAATATGATATGCGACTGTTAAGTACCAGTTTTCTGTTATTAAGTAATGCACTCGTCAACTATTTTTTAATGAAATGATCAACTTGAGATTAAATAGTAAAAACCAAATTAAAATTTTTTTATTACAAGAATCAAATCGAAAGTCTGTATAATAATTAAGGGATCAAATTTAAAGTTTTATCTTTTATAAATACAATGGTTGATGTTACGTGGTTGTTCTATGAATGTAGTTTAATAAAATATTGTAGAAATTAAATGAATATGAAAGACATGAAATGATAGATAAAATATATAAAATGAAATATTTATTCATTATATAATTTATACTACAACTGCTAAAATTAATGTTGTTTTTTAAATTTTAATTTTTTCTTTTTTTTTAACATTAAAAAATTGAATTAAGAGAAAAAAGCAAGTTCTGAATTTTAAAGTCAGAACATTTTATTCAAATTTATGTATTCAAGCGGGTGGTTAGTAACTCATCTACTGAACCTAAATTTTATTTCCTTGTTAAAGAAAAAAGAGGAAAAGCGCATTAGAAAAAGTCAAACCTAAAGTTTATCTATTTTATCTTTAATACCTAAATTAGTGCCGGTGTACTTGACTAATGGTACGGACAAACAAAAATACTAAATCAATCCTTATTATTAATAACGCTTCCAAGGTAGCCTTAATGGGCTTAGCTGGCCCAAAACGGCAAGCAAGGAAGACGTTTTACTAAGATTTCAATCATTTCGCTTTCGTTGTTTTTCGCAACCCATAAACTGCAAGAAACTAACCTGTTCCAACTTTATCTCCAATCCAAGTTCTGTCAGAAACTACCCCACAATTGCGTTTATCAATTTCTCAAAGTAGAGAACTACCATGTTTACCAATCCCGTGTCTTTGGAGAAATTTATATGGCGTTCAAGTGCCTTCTCCCACAAAGGAATCGCCAGTGCTTATTGTTTAATCGGGCAGTGAAACACCACTTTCCCCATGGGAGTTGTCGCGGTGGTCTTTCTTGGTGTACGACTCTATCTTACCCGAAAACCCAAATTTGAATGGGTGTTCAAACAAGTACCAAGAGGTCGGAGTTCAAGAACAAGTTCTGACAGAGAGTCTCCGC